TTTTATACCCTTTAATAGTATCATTTATAACTTTAATCTCATGAATTTAACTTAATTAAAGCTAAAACATAAACAATTGGTCAACTTATTTAGTTGTTTTTTTTCAATGTTTAATTATTACATAATCATGTCGATGTATCCAATGCTTAATTCGACTTAGTTTTAATTTCATATAATAAAATCTAGTTGTCATCAGTAAAAGTCATTTGTAAATTTCTCATTCATACAACAGATTGATACAATACTTGATAAGATCATAATAGCCATTGAATTATATAATTTTAGTTGAAAAAAAGAAAGAAGAAATAAACTCGATAACCAGATGAATGCATAAACTTTAATAGGACTAATATTGAATGATGATTCATTGTTATGGTGTATAGTTTATCAATCTGTTCACTATACATTATGCATTTGGTGGAATAATTAAACAATTTATGTAAATATTGTGTAATTAACAAACATTGATAAACTTAGTCATTTATTAATGAATAATTTATGTGTAGGTGGGTAGTAATTAGCTTTTGTTTGTTCATTCTATAAAATGTTTTACAAATTTTTTACAAAATTCGACTAATGATACTGTGGTGCATGCTACATATATTAATAGATATAAGTAGTATGTAACATCAATCGGAAGTGAAAACCCTGGCAGCAGATGGTTAAGATGATTGAATTGAACAGAATAGAAAATGAAATTTGCAAATGATGTATTCAATGTATGGTTCTCATATTTTACCAAGATATTCTGTAATTTTGTATTCAGATACATTTAGTTGTCCACACTTCTATATTTTTGTTCATTATAATACTAAAAGACTGAATACATGAGTTCTGATAAATTTCTAATTCGATTGATAATAGAATATTATATGGTGAAAATATTTTCTATGTTTAAAAAAGAGACATTAGGCTTAGGGTTTAGGATACAAATAGTATATCGAATAATAAAGCAAGAAATGTTTATCATTTTTAGTGGTTAAGACACGTCCTTTACTATTAATAACTATTAGGTTAGAATTTAGCTTTTGGTAATCAAACGAAGTACTTGGCTATTGGGTTGATCCTCTTTAGTAAATTAGGACTTTGTAGTTTTGAATTGTGGGGGAATGTTAATCTACAGTTTAAAGTATTTTAGTGAACAACAACTCTAGTAGGTGAAACTAATTGATTGTATTAAGTAGAATCACAAATTTGTAAGATATGAAGATAATACATCGTACGCACTATTTGTACAACTTCCTCGAATTGCCTTTTACAAAATTCATCGATCTTATATTTCTGCTTCTACTTTGACTGCTTTCATTTTACTTTTTCTTCTCCACGTTTTTCTCTTCTGTCAGTAAGAAACCTATTTCCAGTTCCTGATACATACTACTTATATCTGTTCTTATAAGTTGAACACACCACAGCATTACATGTAATAATCTGAAATTGGCACCACTGGGATAGGTATATGGTACGCAGATAACCCCTGTTTAATGACAATTATTTTTTTCGTAACAACGTCAAAATTTGCGTCATTCAATACTCTTCATCCTTCGACTTTATTTATTTTATTCAACTTTCTCTTATATTCATATTACCAATGCAGTTAACATTACTCTTTCCTCTCATCAATCACCACTCATATTGCACTGATCTGTTGTGTAGCTATATAAATTTGTATACACTGAAACCAGAGCTTATATTGTTTATAACGGGCCTACTGAACTTTATGTAACATTGAACTAACTATTGGAACAATTATTTATATTTTATTGATGATAAAATTAATAACAGTTAATTATTCGTTGAAATGTTTAAAGAGTATTGAAGGAAGGAAAAGAAATCAAGATAAACTGACTGAATATGATAATATTTGGCATTATTTAGAAATTGACTGATTCAATCTGATGCATATAGCAATACACCGAGTTTACATTTTCATTGCTTTACACTTAATTTACCTTGCTATCTACAGATTCTGTTTGCTTATGACAATTCATTACTTAAATTCTTTAGAAAATTTACAATCATTCCTAAATTTCAGTTGTAATTCAGCCAAAAATGACTTTTAATGACAAACACCTACATAAGAATACCTCAGATGTCGGATTATAGAAATAAAATCATCCTATATATAAGGTGAAATATAAATTACATAAAAATGTTATGATTCCACTAATACTGGTCTGTTTAGGTACATTTTTATTCTCGTTAGTAACTTGGCATAGATTTCGAAGATGAATTATTAGGTCATCTAGATACACAGTATCTCAACAGTAAATTTCATAAAAATCTCTGGTGAGACTAATTTATGGACGACCTTTTAGCGACGCTGCAGTGACCTTGAGAGTGAACAACTACTAATTAGTACGAATATTCGTCAAGATTAGAACCAATAGTTTGACAGATATTGGGCGCCGAGTATAGAGAAGTCATTATATATGTAAATTATATTTGAAACAATCTCAGCGATTGAAATTTAAAATAATTCCAACGTTTCGTCCAGCCAACCCTGAAGAAGTCCACACAAGTTGGCTGGACGAAACGTTGGAATTATTTTAAATTTCAATCGCTGAGATTGTTTCAAATATAATTTACATATATAATAACTACTAATTAGAATTAAAAGAGGGTTATAAAGCAGTTAGGATTCTTATTTACAGTTGATGATTAGGGTTAAAAATTAGATTTAGGGTTTTCATCACGAAATGACACCAGCTATAATGCCAAAACTCTATTTAGCCAAATGTATGGATGAATTTCGCGCCCGCATTCGTGACTCGTTATCTTATATCTGATTGGTTCCTCCACAAATTATAGTTTCGCCAAATTTCTTATTATGTAATCGCAAAACATCGGTTCTGGAACTGCACTATTAAGAGACTTATCAAGTGAAAACTAGAAAGGATACAAAGATCACATAAATAATTCAGTATTTTCTGTCTAAAACTATACATTAAAAAAGCAAATCTATAAAGTATATATATATATATATAAGAGTTGTATTTCAGCTGTCATTTAGAACGTTAGTACGAAAGATGTAGTGTCAAATTCACAAAACTTCGTAGTAAATGAGATTCTACAATTAAACTTTAAAAAGTTTTTGAAACGAGCATTATGTAAAAATTCACTTGGTAAATTTTCCAGAAAACTGTTTTATTAACTGTTATAATATAATCTGAAATGATCTAGATGTTATTGATCGTGATAAAGTTAAAGATTATCAGTTGTAAGACTAGATTTCGTCCATTCACTGAAATCATGAGATCATACATCGACAAAATAATTCATAACAGGAACCGGTTCAGTTAATAGCAGATAAGCTATGAAATGAAATAGTATTCAAGATCTCTCAATCTATATAAGAATTAAACTTATCACGCATCTAGTTAAGCAGTAAAATGTCAGTTTCGAAAGCACTGTGATAGATCATCTCTTGTATACTTCTTAATGATTTGATTCATTATGAAAGACATAGTAAGACATTACGGGATGCCGTAAAATGAAGAACTAAAAAAGTCAAAAATATTCGCACTATAGATTGGCCTGCAAGGTTTCAGAATGTGAATCCATGTTTTATAATTCAGATGTTCATTCACAAGTAAGGTAATTCGTGATCAATGCTGACAAGTCCTGAGGTATAAAGAAACAGCTGTCCAGAGCTCCATCTGTTATTAGTGAGTGGTGAAAACCCTATTAAAAATAATTTTTATTCACAAGTAACTAAACAAGAAGAAATTATTCATGGAAAAAATCACAAACCTGCTAGATAGTATGGAATATTTAGGATAAATTAAAATCATATGCTCTATACAAAATTAGTAGCTTAAATAGAACTACTCGAGTTGCTAGAGTGGCCAATTAATGAATAATTTAGCATCTTTTTACAATGCATTCGATGATTTTTCATGGATGTAGATGATTTATGAGCTTACTTTAATTTGGTCTGTTTTCGAGTGCTTGAATAGTTTAGTTTGTTTTAAGACACTAAACTGAATACCCGAAATGGTGTTTGCTGTTGGATTAAGGCTTTCCATTGTCAATGGCTTTTAAAGAAAACTACCAGCTGTTTTTAATTATTACAGAATGGGAAATCAAAATCGTTAGGCAAAATAATCTAGTTATTTCTCTGTAACTGAGTTTCATATATTCGGTTTACATAATGACACTGTTAATTAGCGAAAAAGGCGTATCTAGACACCATACGATTTTCTACGTTAACATTGCTGAGTATTATCATTACAAGGTTCCCTTTATCTTGTTTAGAATTTAATTCCATTGGTAGAAAATTAAAGCATTTTCAATGTCTCATCAAAAATGCCTTCTTTATCAATGCTTTGAAAATATGCTGTTATATTTTCCCAAACAAAACAATATTCAACATCACACGTATATTTTAAATTCTTCATAACAATGAGTTTTGTTATCGTTATTGACACTAAAAAACATTACGTCATACAAGCAATCAATAAAACGGGTATAGCTATGACTGTGATTATCTAAAAATGAGACAGCAAAGATTAAAATCTTTGAGTTTTAAATGAGGCAATTTTTCATAATAATGATATGCTACGTGAGCTTTTACGCGGAGATAAAAGACCAAAGTACATCTGTACGCTCCATAAGTCTGTGAAACGCTTTCTATACTTTAAAGTTGCCTAGTATTGAATAAGATTATTACTTTCAATGACGCACTGTAAAATGATACCTGTAGAATTTAGTATGTCGACTGATCAAAGCGTAAAGATTTCACAAAACGTTCTTCATTCCTTTGGATGAGATGCAGAGCATAGTATGTTGCATTTAACTCTTCGCGCGGAAATGTTTTCACTGCCGTAATCACTAGGCAAACGTTCTTCTTAATTTTAATCAGCTGTTACTGGTATAGTCATGGTATGTAATTTTGAAAATAAATCAATTATAATGCAATCTAGTGAAACCTTGGTCAAAATTATTAGACGTGATTGTGATTTGTAAATATTTCATCATATTTTTATATATTTTGTGGATAGTTTCTGTTCCGGATGAAAAGTCATTTTTCTCGTCAAACCGAACACACACAGACTCACATCAATTCCTCAATGCTCTCTTCAAACCGAAGAACTTTCAATGGGTGAGTTATACTACTTTGATAATGTAAGTAGGTAAAAAGATTCATTCGTTTCTTAATAAATATATAATACCTAATTTAGCAAATTCTCTACAAACAAATAAAAATTGTGTAATATCAAATTCTTTGTTTCTGCTTTTCCTTTTGAGTCGTCGTTCCCCAAGTCTCAGTTTATTGTCTTAAACTTTTCACTTTGTGCTATAGGTCGTGTAAGGTGGTTGGATTGCAACACTGGGATCAAGGATGCACAGTATTCTCAGCAACAATTACATAGATCCAAATAGTAACTGGATTTACTGAGTATTTTTAACTTGTTTTCTTTTTCACAAATTATACAATTATAGTTCAGTATTTGATTATATCCATTAGTTTTTGAGTTTATCATTAGTTAAACTGTTCATCTGTAAAACAGTTTCCAAAAGTCCTTGAGAATGAAAAGCCACCGAATATTTGTTGTATATTTGACTTAATATGATTGTTAGCACTTTAAATCGATCTAATATTACACTTTTTCCCATCTTTATTTGAGCTTTAGTTAATTCCTCACCTTCATATGTATTTATATGAAACACATACTTTGAATATGATCAAGGTTTTTAAATCTCAATTATTTAAGGTCGACTTATTCATTATGAAATGTTGAAACCATAGGGTTCAGGCGAGAAGTTTTCCGAAGTGCATAGTATCAACGTTTTTTCGACCTACAAAATTCATGACGAAGGTAAAATATCACACGAATAATTTACTGTGCAATGTTTTAGTTTAGGACTGTTAGACATGATCTTTAAAGATATATATATATATATATATATATATATATATATATATATATATATATATATCCTAAACATAGGACTTACACAACGTCATCTCAAAAGGACAAAGTGAGTGATTTTGGGATCAAGTTTAGAAATGTGGATATTTCAGATTATAAACGTACAAACTGTCAGACACTACTTATCATATTATGTTTGAAGAAGTAGAATAGAATGAGAGCTTGCAACACTGGGTTGAATTCTTTACGCAGTAAACGCTTTTTAATTGTTGGAATTACGATCCATTGTAAAAATAACCAGCTGTTTTAAGGTTACACATACTTGCTCGGACTTTGGAAGCCAAAATTAAATACTATTGTAAAAATATGAGAGTAATAAGATACGATTGTATCTTAGTCTAATGATGATATTTGGCTAACCAATCATCTAGTGATAAATACCACTAAATAGGTGGTTTGATTTACATTCAATAAAGATAATGAATTAAACCGAAACTAAATAATTTCAATCAGTTATGTTTTTTATATCTAGAAAAATGAGAAAGTGTTGCGGAGTTTTACTTTAATATGTTTCACCTAGTTAGTGACTATTTTATACCTTAACTGAATAATTATTCGATAATAAAAACATATATTTAAGTGCAATGAAACATTGTTTTTGGATATAATCGATATAGAAGATTACCATTCGACCAACTATTTAGGATATTAATTATTCAACTGGATCATTTAATCGTGATATTAATTTGAGTGAAATTGAATTTCTATGAACAGTAAACATCGTAAACTCTTTTCCCACTAGTCATAATCGGTATATAATAGCAACAATTCAGTTATGAAAATACATAAGACTATATATGATTTTTTTTCGGTGTTCTTTTTCTGTAATGATTGGTAATTTAAATTTAGTAATTAATGAATGAGAAATACCTTTCCGTCAATTCATCCTGATACTGTTTATGGGAGCATTAAGAAATTTAAATATTACCCGTTACAAAATTTCTGTTTAGTCGTGCACTTTCAGAAATAATAATGACAAGATCAATGAGGTTATTTTGTTGTTTTATCAGTTAGAATATTTTTCATATTAATGTTATATAGTTCTTTGAACCAGAGGTGAATATATCGTAGTACCTAAGATATATATAGAGTGCGAGTTCACTCATAAATATGCATGATAGGAGTAAAACAGTTCATATATATTTCAAGGTGACATGACACTTCACAACAACTCTCATATCTTAACAATAGACACTAACAGTTTTGAGAGAATCTTTTGATCAATGTAGTCGCTAGATTTTAGCACTCCATAACGATTTGTAATGACTTCCTTAGATTTTGCAATATTTAGACTAAAATTTCATTTGCTAACTGTCCTATCTTCTTTTAAAATTGAGGCAGCTAAAGATAATCTTCAGATTTGACTAAAAAGCATTCAAAATGACAACAGTGCAAACAAAAACATTAAACATAAATGAATTCTACTCTTCATTGAAAGCAAATAAGTCTCATAAACTGAGGATGTTTGCGCTTAAAATCTCTACTTTTTAAGATAAACTTAAGTTTGCAGACAATTATTTTCACTTTTAAACTTCAATAAATTGAAATTCAAAAGTAGATTTGGTAAGTGGAAATTTTGATTGAATATTACTTTTCCTGACAAGTTAATTACAAGTATAATGAATTGTCGAAAATCTTGGCTAAATTACATTGTCCTTTTCAATAAATTTACTTATGGTGATTATGCAAGTAGATGTCAATTTCACTAATAAATAACGTATATCATTCATATGACATAGTATAGAGATTTATACAACCTGCATCAAATTGTTCGTCCATTCTTTATTTAAAGTATTTTAAATCTTCGCTTTTTTTGTTTTAAAAAAAAAGTTATTTTCCCATCATCCATACATGATTGATTACAGATAAAAATGTCGGTTGTTTGTAATTAGTTTTTTTTTGATCTTGTTTAAGATTCATAAACATTGCCATGTATACATATTATGATTGTTTACTAAATTGAATTTGATTCTATCTATACGAAATATAATTTTAAATGTCATTCATATCATAGAATAAGTTTATAGTCAACAAATTTTTTAAAAATCTAAATTAATAATTCGATTTCAGTTTTAGCTGAAGTTGCAAACAAATGTAATCTGTGGAATTCCAAATACGTGTTAAAATATTATTATGTGTACTATATGGCAACAATTCTTACGACACCTTGATATCAGAATACAATAGGTTTCCTCTCAACTTCCGGTACTTTAAATAACGATCTTGTATGGAAGATATATTTGGTAGACAACCAAAAAAATATTTGGTTTACATTCAGGTCGACTTGGTTATATACTGATTAAATTCAATGATCATAATGACTTGATCAATATAATTGAAAAAGTAATGTAATCCAGTGAACAGAACGGAATTAATTCATTTAGCGAACATGCATTATAATTAAAATGAACGAAAATAACCCTAAACCAATAAGCTAGTTAATTTCTTCCTTATTTGTTATATTTGACGGATTTTACATTCTCTAGTCATACACAGGTGGAATGTAAAAGTAAGTATTCTGTCTGTTTAAAATGTGATTACCAAAAGTGAAGAAAGCAAACTGAAGTTATAGATTGAATAAGTTATCAGGTTTATTAAAAGGATAAAAATCTTTAATAAGATGATGATATTCTCTAATTAATGATTTAGATTCTGACTCCATGAATAAATAAATAAATACTTCATGTATGAGTATATATGCGGATATATGAGAATATATGCGACTATGATTCTTTTAGTTAGGTGATCCATATATATAATCAGTAATTTGACTTAATGCTCATTAGTATTTCAATTTATTAGTACAAAATCTGAAGATAGCATTGGTAATTTAGGTTATATTGATAGTCATATGTAACTCATCTTTATTGTCCCCAAAAGCATTTGGCGTACAGGATAGTGTAAAATTTAAATACAGTCTACTCATCATGCTACTTATATCTAAAAATAAGTAGTATACAACATAAGATAGCTAATTTCCTGAGTTTTTCTTTTTAAAAAAACATATTTCATGTATTTCAGTTTTATTAAAGAAGATCTAGTAAATGGTGGTTTTATGGATTTATATACTGAAGTACCGAAAGTACAAACATTCTCATCATCTCCATCAATTTCAGTTAAATGTATTCATTTATTAAAAGGGAAAAATATGTCAAGTGATAATATTAATCAAAATGATATAAATTATCTAAGAAGTATACGCAAAAGACAAAGAAAAATTAAAAGACGACGAAGTCTAAAATCATTCATTCACTATTCACCTCAGAATCTTCACAGAAATAATAATTATGTATTCAATCATTTTGATACATTTAAACGAAGTTTAAGTTATCAACAAATTAAATTAAATCATAATAATAATAATCCTAAATCAACATTCATTTCAACTAATTCATTATTATCATCTTCATCATCAGTGAATTCAAATGAAAATGTTGAACATTCTAAGAATAAATTTAAACAAAATTCAATAATCATGATGGAATCACAATTTCAACAAGTATCTCATATTTCATCAGATAATATTTATTTCCCATTTAGTAATGATAATAAAAATCCTAATAATACATCAATTCAAATGGAAGAAAATAAAACGTAAGTAGTTTTTTAGATTTTTTTATCTATCTGGACTGACCAGATAACAGTTTCAATCTCTATTAGGCATAATAGTATTTAGCAGTAATAGATTTAATTCTATACGGTTAATAATAATTGTAACCAAACTGATAACTTATGAAATGAATTAAATTTCCTTATGATTAGTCGTTTGGTCGTCCTAACTTTTTACGTATGACAACTAGACAAAAAATAGAGAGATATTCCCAGTAATGCCTATGGAGTTTTGATATGAGTGAGTAATTCTGAGTTTCGGCATAGGGAAATTGAGAAAAGATAGAAAACTGGTCGATCAAGTTGTGAATCTTCATCCAGTGGTGTGATTGGGTATGTGTTATGCCTAGCCATCGCATACCTAAGCAAGGGAAGCTTGCTAGTGTAGAAGTAAGTGGGAAGCTTGGGGATGCCATAACAAAACATATTATCAATCCATGAAGTCATGGATTGATGATCTATGCACAGTAGATAGTTCCAGACCATCAATTTGGTGGACACACAAGCGTCACGACCTATCAATGCAGACCACTAAGTGATGTGGTCCAGAATTAGTGAAAGTGAAGTAGATGTATTCACGTTTTATTTTACTCCAAATCTTGATTTTCACTATTCCTTTATATAAATCACTCATCTGGTTATTTTCTACCGTGTTCTCAATATTTTGCTTTTCTTATAACCATTGCTATTACATTATTCCTACTTATTTGTCATTTGTGTTGTTAGATTTATCTGGTTGTGCCAATGTGTTACGGAAACTTGCACCCAGATACATTTTTCCCATGATCTATGTCTATCATGACTTGCTGATGATTTATGGATTATGTTTTGTGAGAAAGATTGTGTTCAAGTACATAGGACCACCTAATCAATAACAAAAATCTTTAATTAAATGTATTTTAGGTTATTTTAACCCACTAATAATTATTTAATGTATTCACTGATTCAGGAAAATGTATGAAAATTATATCCATCTTATAACATACTATTTTATTCTTCATTTTGTTTTTGAGTATTGAATTTTACGAAAATGTTTTATCCCCTTTCAGCTATTACAATCCCAATAAAGATATTTCACTTCAGAACTGTTCAATTACAAGAAATTCTCTGTTTCCAAGTACTTCATCATTACAATATACTGATTTTAAGTATAATAATAGTAAATGTGATATTAGTTCAACACTTGTATATTCTCTTGCTCAACCTGGTAAAATCAATGTTAGCACAATACATCAAAGTTTAACTGGTGGTCGTCCATTTTGTTTTGTTTTTACTGGCCCACTTGTACAAATGCCTTCTATAGAAAAAAATGTATGCTTAGAAGATAAAACTTTATTCACTCATATATTTGCTACAGAGAGTTTGGAATCACGTGCTAGATGGATAAAAAGGTAAACTCCATTTTTATAAAAAGTAAAGTGTCATATTTTTGGCATGCTTATTAACTAATAATTGTAAATAACTTCGAGCTAACAACTGTCACATGTGGATATGTAGTTAAAAATTATTCAATTAAATTATCCGACTTAAACAGTCAACTAAATGCAAAAGTGTATTCAATTGTGTAGACATTAACATTTCCCACACACCTTTACTACACAGATTATCTCAACCAATAATATTTTTATGTGGAGACTAAAGTTATTTGGTTGACTGAACTGTCATTACATGATTGGTTAAATTTTTTAAGTTGGTTTATAATCAGGCTGATTTAATCCGACAATTTATGTGGAATGTCATATGGATAAGCCACGTGTTTACTGTAACAGTGACAATGAATTTATTCTTAAACATGTATCAAAGCGTTTCTTATATGTATTAAAGAATTTTTATTCATAACCTGGAGATGTCCACTGTAATAAATGATCAGTTGAATGACATTAAATCTAATGATTATTTATTTAAACAAACATTTACACTGGAATCGAAATCTAAACAAAATCCCATGAGCCTCAGCACTAATGATATTTTTGATATGGAACCTTATAAAGATAAATGTGATAAAAATACTTGTGGAGTAGTTTATTCTTCTCTTATCACTGTGTCATCATATGATAGTTGTCGTGTATTAAATGAACTTGAATATGGAAGTCGGTCTTTACCGTCAGCTAATTCTCGTTCATATGCTAGACAACTAATTGACTTTTTTCCAGGTTTTTGGGGAAAAAGAAAAGCTGTGAGTTATTTTCAGAAAACGTCATCTTCAATTACACTCACGGAGGTATCACGGAAACACTATAATGATTTATGGGTTGGTTCATTAAAGTAAGAATTTTTTTTTGATGTTATTCAGAACATCCTGATTTTGATCATTTAAAACTATTTTGAATTGATTAACTTAGTTTAATAGGGTTATTTTACAGTATCCATGTTTGGTGTTATAGTGTTTCGCTTATTATATTTTAGTGGACTTATTAAGTTGTTTTGTCTAAGAATAGGAATTATCAAATTCGATTTCTAAAATGACTTGATCATTTACTCGACACTTAAAATAGTGTAAAACAATATTTAATCACTTCAAAACGTTAGATTCAATATCCAATCTGTGTACTATTTATCATACGACACATAATTTGGTAATATTTTTAGAGCAAAAGATTATGGTATACTTTTTAGTTGCCTTGATAAAATCTGTTTTTAGCTCATAATTATAGAATAAACACCTATGTGATTATCGGTCAAGTTAAAATCTCTTTATAAATGAATAATAAATATACTTTTTTGTTATATTTCAATGAGTAGAAAATTGCATTTATGACTTAATGTAAGCCATTGTTTAATGTTTTAAATATTGAACTATAGCAAGATCACTATAAAATTGGCGAGATCTAAGGCAGAGTACATCATTTGAAATTGTAATATGTAAATTAAGAATTGTTGTTTGTTATATAAAATCAAATCAGATCGTTAATGTTGGGGCTGACTAATATGAAGTGTTAACTTGACTCAGTTTATAAGTGAAATGAAATTGTACGATAAATGATCAGAATAAATATGGTCAACATGGGGTGAGAGAGAAAGTACGTAATATGTAGAATAATGTGAATTAGGTCAGATATAGTAGATAGGGGTGGATACTGAATAAATTCCTCAAAAAGGGTTATCGAGTGTAATATAATAATTATAACAGTGATTAAGACGATATTAACAATGGCAAAGATAATAATAATAAGTTTGGGACATAAAATGAACATTAATAAAATTATGTCACCAAAGTTGGCCAGGGTAAAAAGATTGGCTGAACATATTTCTTTTGGATGCAAAGCTCTGGCTTTTTCATTCGAATAGCAATTGCTTCAGCCGTCTGTAAGATTCGCAGTCTGACGGAATTAGGTAGACTACTGTTAACACGATAGATTATTGCAAAAGATTGCTCCATGTTGGCTGTATGTTCTGTTTGAACTAGATGGTCTAAAATGGAGCTGTTAACCGTTTTGACTACAACTTTGCTTAACCATACGAGGAGGTGCTCCCGAGCCCGATTGTAAAAATTCCTTGAACATCTGCCAATGCAACTTGCTCCATAAGAGCAAAGACATTTTCACGTAATATCAACTAGATATTTGAAATTTCCCTAATTTTAATTTAATTCTTCATCAAGAGATTTATAGTGATAATACCAAACTCAGACATTTAAAAATTTCTTTCACGAAGAATAATTTCTAGCAGAATTTTCCACACTTCCTCTGATCAATTTCAGTCCTAAACATCAATGAGAAGATCTAAAACAACCAATATATTTTTGGATAGGATAATATTAGTTAACTAATATGCTTTCTGCAAATGAAGCTTTACATCCAGTATCAGAAATGTTAAATGTATGGCACTATCCATATGTATGTGTCATTGTATCGTGAAACATATGTATGATGTTTTCTATCTTTAATTCGTTACATAATAGCATGATATATTAAGGCTTTATCTAGCTTAATTTTCTAATAAGCAGGAAATAATCATGTCAAATTTAAAAAAATAGTGAAGTGTATTTTTGATTTTTATTGTTAGTTGTCACATTTCGTTATAAAAACACTTTAGCTCTGTTTTTTGATGAAAGAAATAGGTATGTAGATGATGATACTTTTGCAAATCATATAGATTCTACATTGGTATTTATATTAAATTGGTCTTCCTGACAGTAAGAAATATATGTAAGTTCAACTTGAACCTAACTCTTTACTGATAATGTTAGTCAAGTAAATAATTACGTTAATAGGATTTTCATTGCCCGAGTTTAAAAAGCACTGTAAATATCCTCGTATTCATGGTGAACTTTATATTATTGTACAGATTGGATTAAGCTGTCAACAAACTTTTTAATTCTGGAGTAGAATATTGATTTTTATCCTTTTCTCAACATATTCAGAAAGTAAACATGTAATCGCTTTTAATGGTATAGGTTCCTAGTCATTATAATACCTATGATTTTATTCAGTTGAATGCATTTATCCTCATAATAACAAACCGGATCACTTTTATACTTTGTTGTATACTATTATTATTCATCTAAGGTCTTAAATTTTTTTGACAGTATTTTTGTCTATTGGAAAACTAGAATTCCTACTGTTAACTTATTATATTTACTCAATACATTGTCAGCTATACCCATTATATAAGAGTAAGAATACTATTAACCTTTCTTCGTTTAGAAGATCAGATTAATATTTGAAGTTTCTTACATAGTTCCATGAGCCGACTATATAGACACTTGAGGTTCAATTGTACTTATTTGATCGGTAATATGATTGATACGAAGTTGTTATACGGTATTATTTATCGACTTAGTTGTCTTTTATAGCAAATCATTGTTCCATCTGTTTGAAGTTGGGAACTAATAGGCAAAACGTTAACTATCAGAAGGGATTGTGTGGAGATTTTAGAAATTTCACCGGTTGAAATCATGAATCCATTGAAGCTAGACCACCGTGGAAAACCTGAAAGCACTGGACGGCCATTTCGTCCTAGTATAGGACTTCTCAGCAGTGCGCGTCCACGATCCCGCTCCCAGCGAGATTCGAACCCAGGACCTATCAGTCTCGCGCCAGGCGCTTAACCATTAGTCCACTGAGCTGGCCGGTATCCAACGGTGTTAATGTCTAACTACAACCAATCCACGAAATTGCGCCACCGTACACCATTGTCTTCAGTGGGCTGATATCTCACAACAGACCTGGTTGAACTCCACTGGTAAAGGCTTCTCACTAGAACTTCAGGAGTATCTCTTGAAGTCAGTCACTAGTGAGCAGATGATTATGATCAGAAGGGATTGTGTGGAGATTTTAGAAATTTCACTGGTTGAAATCATGAATCCATTGAAGCTAGACCACCATGGAAAACCTGGAAGCACTGGACGGTGCAACTTCGTGGATTGATTGAAGTTAGACATTAACACCGTTGGATGCCGGCTCAGTGGTCTAGTTGGTTAGATGCCTGGCTCGAGACTGGTAGGTCCTGGGTTCGGATCTCGCGAGGAACGAGATTGTGGACGCGCACTGCTGAGGAGCCCCATACTAGGACGAAACGGCCGTCCAGTGCTTTCAGGTTTTCCATAGTGGTCTAGCTTCAATGGATTCATGATTTCAACCAGTGAAAACGTTAATTGTTTAGTGTTTCTATTTTACTCGTTATAAATCATATTACTCAATCAGATAATTTTAATATATTCCATCTGTTTAGTGACGAAAGTGTTAGGCTTTAAAGTAAAAAAATAATAATATTCAATTTAAATTCTATTGAAATTACGGAAACCTTAAAGATGGTTACATATATTTTAATGGTCCATCTGAAAAAGAAGAGGTAAACATATATCTTAAATATTTGTTTACATGTTTACAAAGAATAGTCTGTTCTGAATTCTAGTTGGCAAATTGACTAACGAACTATCCTTCAGTTGAATAGTTTAGTCATTAAATACAGTTTTATGGAGTTGAAAAATTGCACTATATTTATATTTCGAATGTACTAAATTCGTTGAAAAGTTTTCACCACTGATATCAGCTTTCCTAATGAACTCTTTTTCAGTGCAATTTGTTGTGTCGAAATCCACTTTTATTCCCTACTTTACTGATTAATGCTAATATTAACATTGTTTCACCATATTATCAACCAACTTATGTCAATCTCGCTTTGATTGGGGCGTTTCCAACATATGTAATGTTTAAGTAATTCATTGTAAGGAATAAACATTGTATTTTCATTTGAAATATATTTTACTTATTATACAAAGGTTAATACTGAACAGTAGATATAATTTAGAGTATTGTATGAACATATAGATTAAAGATTTCATGAGTTTACAACCGATATGGATCTGCATTTCTTAGCTAACAATAACCGTAGGTTTAGAAGTAAGAGTCATTTAACTTAATAGTTTAAAATATGACTTAGTTACAGGAGAGTGGATGTCTTCCTTTTACAACTTTTATACACTAGAATGTCAAGCAAGAATTAATTTATGAGAACAAAATTTTATTTCTTTTCATTCTATTTGCTTGAAAATTTGCTTTTAACCTTAGACCTTA